GCCTGTGACAGTTACAGAGGTGTTCAGCCCAGAGTCTGCACTTACTGGGAGGGGGGACTTTGGACCCAGGTTTCTGAGATCAGGAAGCTGGTTTGCTGCTGTGAACCCTCACTGATAGATCTTGGTGCCAATACCAGCGTGTTCAGTATGGTTTCCAGGAATAAATCAGGTGTTTGTGTTTGCATAAAGAAGCCAGTCCTGAAACTGACGACATTTTGTGTTCTCAATTTTCGAGGCTAAACTAGTTTAGAAAGAAAGGGCACCCTGGATGCTCTAGGCTGAGTTTTAGCCCCCAAATATATGTAAAATTGGCACACTGAAACTTATATGCAATCATGTTATCAATCCTTTGGTTTCAAATTTTTAACTGTTCTGGGGTAAATCTAGTTAAAAGTTTCACATCACAAATTGTGTAGAGGAAATTTTAAAAATTGATGTTATATTAGTGACTATGCTTTATTAGAAATTAGAAGAATTTCTGGGGGTGTGAAGTCTTCTGAGTCAACTTCTGTTAGAAGAGTTTAAATGTGGCTGGTGGACGGTTGTCCCTTCCCATGGTCCTGACTAGACTGAATCCGCGGCTTCCGCAGAGTGCTAGCACTCTCTGCTGGTCAGTCCTGGAATGACAGTCTCATAACCAACAGATGTTTGTTTTTTTCTATTCAACTGTGCAAATTCACAACCATTTTCCACTTGCAGTTTTTATTATTATGATCTCAGGTAGTAAAAATGAGTCAAACAAGATCCCCACAGAATTTTTATTCCATAAACAGTATTTGGAATTTGAAACTTAAAAGTTTTAGATAATCCTAAATTATTGTATTTAAGCACATTTTTGAAAATAAGGTTTAAAATGGATATTTACTGTAAACTATTGATATTTGGAAAAGCTGTACCAGCCATTAAGAGCCAAAGCTCTTGGGTCACCAAGGAAAAATACAAGATAGGACAGAAAGCAGCCCTAATGCATATGATTAGCCTGTTTGGGGTAGCAGTACTTGTGGGCTCATAGTTCTTGTCATCTGTCCCTGAAAAATAACACAATGTCCCACACTTGTGTTCTGCCCACAACTTCACCTTTCAGCGCTGTATCATTTTGAGAATTTATAATAGTTTGGGGTGTTGCCAGCAGGAGTTTAAGGTTTCCACCAGCTGTGAAGTTGAGAAACCTGACAGGAGGAACCCCAGTGTATGAAACATTGAGAAATTTAAAAATGAAGACTTATTTCATTTCTGCACTGTGGCCCCAGAGAGCAGTTTTGGTTTTGTCTTTTTTTAATGTTTTCCCAACACATTTACTGTACCCATCATTTGATGGGAAACACTTGTAAAACAATTGAAGGAGGGTGATGTCGAGGGCCCAGGAGGGAAGGGAAATGTGAATGTTGGGGTTTTAAGAGGGCCAGGCTGTCGGAAGCCACTTGGAGAGGGGTCACTCCTTCCTGCTCTCGTCTGGGGTGCCGGCGGCTCTGCTGGAGCGAGGCAGCCTGCCTGGGCCGGCCCTGCGCGCGCTGCTGGCCCAGCGCTGTGCGCCTGGTTGCCGTCGTGGCAGCGGCCGCTTCAGGCGAGTCCTGCCGCTCTGGGGGTTTCCAGTAAGTTCAGCTGAGCCCATCACTTCAGCATTCTGCCTTTGGTTAGCTGGCGCCCTCCTGGGGACGAGGCCAGTGCTCTGGTCGTTCGCGTGGACGGATTTCCCCGGAGAAAGGAGGATAGTGCCTAAAGAAAGCTGGTCCAGATCGCCAGCCTGATTGTCACCAGGGAGCCGTGATGGGGAAGTAAATGACAGAGAAGTGCCCGAACTGCAAGTCCAGAGCTTGAAAAGTAATCACCTGTATGCCTGTTCTTGCAGGGAGGGATTCCAGCACCTTCCTTCCCCATTGAGGTTTCCTCAGCCCCCTCTGGTTTTGCCCGAGTTTGCATTTCCGAGCAGGCCCTGTGGCTTCCGTTCAGAAACGCAGACAGGCGAAGGGAGGCGGTGCGGTTCTGCTTCCGCAGAGAAGGTCAGCCCAGAACGGCCGGGACTCGGTAGACTCCGTGCCACGCTGTCCTCGGGCGGCTCGCCTGGGAGGCCTCTGACCTAGAGCCAGCTGCCGGAAGGTTCTGGCTGGGGTCTGGCTGAGCGTAATGCCGAGAAGCGTGAAGTAGGGTCACTACCCACAGGCAGGGTGGAGCGCACCCCCAGAAGAGAGCAAATACTTCCGTGCGCGTGCAGCTTTACACACTGAACCCCTGCACGTGCCAGGCCCTGTGCTGATTGCTGGTAGCAGTGAGAGGAGCCGAAGCCACCTGTGCTCTCAGGCTCGCCCGGGGACTTGGGGAGACCCGCAGGTGAGGGCGCGTTCCCGTGCAGAGCGGCGAATGGCGCAGAGGTCCGCCGAGGGTTCCCGGGGAGCCCGGAGGCCGGCCAGGCCCCTCTTGGGGGTGGGGAAGGCCTCACAGAGCAGGGGCACGTGCCCACGCCGGGAGAGCCGGGAGCGGGGGGAGGTTGGCGCCGCGTGAGTGGGGCTGGGCGTGGGTAGCGGAGGCCTGATCCTGGGGATGCAGTGAGGGTGGGGGAGGCGCCGAGCGGCGAGGTGGGCGGGGGCAGATGGGGCAGGGACTGTGCCCTGAGCTAGAATGCTGATACTGTTTCCGACGCCTGACCACGTACTTCTGGCCTTTCTCCACTTCATTCTGGAAAACGGGTCACCAAGAAGATAGAGTTGCCAGATAAAATACAGGACACCAAGTTAGGTTTGAATTTCAGATAAACAACGAATAATTTTTTAGTGTAAGTCTATCCATACTATTGTATTATTCATAGTTTATCTGAAATTCAAGTTTAGCTAGGCGTCCTGTTTGCTAAATCTGGCCACCCTGAAAGAAGACCAGTATAGAACAGAAGGTGTTTATCTAAGTCTTACCCTTGGAGGTTATACACCCATTCATGGGCTGAACATTAATTAAATCAAAGATGTAACCAAAAATATCTCATTAAAGCAAAAATGCAAGAATTATAAACCTGTATACTAATTTAAGATTGTTAAATTATGCTTTACATCCTGTAAAATGGGTATAAATATGCTGTATGCATCAGCCATATGAGAGGCCGGTCTTCCTATAGATGCACCTACAGAACATGAAAATACAACTATGGTGTCATCAACTCGATTGACTTAAAACTACTCTTCTAGCTGTAGTAAAAGCTGAACTACAATAATAGTTTTGCTAATCTGAGAATAAAGCAGCACTTGTGGGATGATTTATATAATTGTCCTCTCTTTAAAACTACTTTTCAGAGGATTTTGATCGGCCTCTTTCCCTCCGTCGACATCCCTACAGCAAGCAGATCAGAGCATTTTGGTGCAAAGAGCAGCGCACATGCCTGTGTGTGTGTGAGTGAGGGTGTGTGTGAGTGAGTGTGAGTGAGTGAGTGTGTGTATCTGAAAATCTAAGCAAGGAAATCAGGGCCTGGGGAAGAGGCATGCAGAGAATCTGACCCTCTGGTGTTTTCTTCCTTCTCCTCCCTGCTTGCCCCAGCATGCAGGGTGGTGTGGAGGGTCCGGGCAGCCTGGGCAAGCGAGGAGGAGGTGGCCGACTCCCTGTCTCTAGTGATGCCTGGTACGTCGTGCCTAGGTGCATGCACAGGCTCATGGACAGAGGCCAGTGTTTCCCAGTGGGTGAGCCACAGCCCACCCTGCGGCCTCTGGGGCTCCTGCTCCCTGGACAGCTGCCGGCTGGCCATCGGGGCCTGTGTCTGAGGAGGGTGGGCAGGGCCCAGCAGCCCCACTGACAAGCAGGGGCGCCCGCCCTGAAGGTGGCCTGTGCTTTAGGGAGTTGAGGGAACGATTCCCGGCCTCGAGCAGAAGTTGTTCCCGACCGCAGCTGACATTGTGAAGGCCCCCTGGCCTATGCCAGGCCTTCAGAAATGCCCTCGCCCTGTGTCGGGGACGCCCCTGGTGTCCATGGACCATGTGCCCTGGGCCTCATGTAGACTTAGTCAGTGAGTTGCCTGAAAAACCAACAACCCTTTTTCCTGTAAAACAAAATGAAACCAGCACTTCTGAAAAACTTAGATTCAGCAGCTAATGGTAGTTGTGGGACTCAGCCTCTGTGGTTTGGTCACAGCTCACAGGGACAGTCATCCCAGGTCACACAGAGTCGAGGACAGAGGCCAGCGTCCTTGATCTCATTCCCCGTCCCTAGAAAGCTGATGTACAGAAACTGTAATGGGAGGATTTGTGTTCTGCTCTGCTCACAGTGAGACAGAAGCGCACTCCGAATCTCCACGCTGTCAGCGATAGTATTTTGAAAACAAAATACTGCCCTTTCCAACAACCACTCAGGACTTCTGGTAACTGTAACAGGGATAGAGGCTTAAATTCCTGAAAAGTGCCCTGGGCCATCTCCACTTTGGTTTTCTCTGGGTAAAGATCTGATTTTTTCCCTTCCAAACCCAGCATTTAAATGACTTGTCTAAATATGGGCTCCATTTACATGGGCCCTGTGGTCAGGTCAGCCATGGCCAGCAGAGCATGTCCTTCTGCTGTGTCCTTGGGGGTGGGTGGGTCCTGGGCAGCCTCTCCTGGCTGCAGCCACCATGCTGGCAGGGGCTGAATGGTCCCCGGCCGAGCACAGGCCGTGTCCAGGGTATTTATGGAGCTGACCCAGACTGTCCTGCTCCAAGGGGTCTTTTCTGGTCAAGCTGTGGCTTACACCTGCCCCACTCATTCCACGGTCGCCAGCCTGCCAGACTTCTCCTTTCAGATGGACAGCGTCCACCCCAGCGCACACGTAAATCATTCATCGGGTCATTGAAACTTAAAAGGAGGTTTCGAGCAGGGTTCTCGGGGCAGGGCTGTGCATACGCGAGGCTGGGTTAATGTTCCCAGACTCTTTCACAGAGGGTGACGTGGGGGGAGGCCGTCCTCATCGTGGGATGCCTGTAGTTCTGTGTTTAGTGTAGGAGCACGTGTCCTGGTCTGTTTTCCTGGCTTCAGGCATTTCTGTCTCAATTCTAGGACTGGTTGCCATAAAGGAGGCCCACGATATAGAGACCAGGCTGAATGAGGTGGAGAAGCTGCTGAAGACCGTCATCAGCATGCCATGTAAGGTGAGTCCTGTGTCGGGACGCGTCCTGCAGCCTCCACACAGCTGACCTGCTTGCTCCCGTAGCCGCTCATGCCCTCCTTGGAAGTATCAGGCCATAGGCGGGGTGGCTGTAACCAGGGGAAAGGAAGACCTTTCTGGGCTCTAGTGGCTCCTTTTTTGCTGCCTGGGGAAGAAGTGGAAGTGAGGGGCCAAGGAGGTGTTGACTAGGAAGGGACGTGGCCCCTCCACCTCAGTGGTCTTTGCTTTCTTGCCTCCGCTCAGAAACCCACTGGTCTTGCTGAGGGTGTTTTAGAAGAGGGCGGATAGGAGCCAAGGGGAACGTTAGTGTGGACCTCAGCAGGCAGCCTTTAAATGAAGTTGCAGGCTTCGTATGGAGTAGCGATTAAAAACCTGGACCCACTTAACCCTGTAGCTTCCGTTCCCTTGTCTGTTAATGGGGAAGTTGACGCATTCACAGTTTATTGTAAAGTGCAGGGAGATGTGTGTGAAACACTGGCACATATGAAGAACTCAGAAAAACTAGCTGTTGTTCCCATTAACCTCCTCCTATCTGTCCCTGGGCCTTGCATTTTAGCACACGGGGCCATAAACAAATGAACAGCGTCAGCAATTGCAGCCTCATCCGTGTGGTCAGTCTGCAGAGGTCTGAACACTCAGGGGTCTGAGCGTCAACGAGCCGCCCTGTGGAAGGACTGAATTTTAGTAATGAGTCTTTCTTCCCAGTATTCTAGGTCAGAAGTTGTGCTCACCTTCTTTGAAAGATCTCCTCTGGATCAGGTGTTAAAAAATGACAATGTACATAAAATTCAACCCAGCTTTCAAAGTCCAGTGAAAATATCAGGTGAGTCTTACAGGAGGGTGTGGGGGAAGGCTGCTCTTCATGGCTGGGTTTTCCAGAAACCTTTCCCGGTGGTTGTCTGCATGGTTGGGCACGGCTTCTACCCATGGGATCCAGAGGGACAATCCCACAGAATGACGAAAAGAGTGGGTCAGTAGATGAGAGGGGAGCAGAGCCCAGAGCTGCCTCCTAAGAAGGAATTGGGTCGTGGTGATGGAGAGACAGAGGAGGACAAATTGGCTGATGTCAATGGTATAAAGTGTCCTTATTGACTTATGTGCCACATCAGGGATGAGATTCCTAATAGCACGCTGGGTGAGGTGGACAGGGTACGCAAGTTCTGGGAATCTGGAATGGAAAAGCTGCTTTAGATATGATTGTGTGTGAGCAGGATGGGTGTTAGGTCGAGGTTTGTCTGTGTCTGCTGCTTTTGACATCTGCCCAGGATAGCTTCCTGTGTTTCTGAGACAGAACAGCAGAGGAGTTCAGGAGCCCCTCCTTAGCTGGCACCTAGTATCCAGAACCTTCTTTATAGGAGAGCGAAGATGGCAGTCATTTGTCCTGGTTGGGTGCCCGTGGACCCTAGTCTCGTCGGGCTCAGAGAGAGCCCTAATTATCCATTCGTGTTGGGTTTTGTATGCTGTCGCCTGGAGCGTGGACAAGCCTCTGTTCTCTGGTCCTTAGTGGATCAGTCCCAGCATGGGTGTCTCTCTTTTGCTTTGTTTCTTGCTGTTTTGTGCAAATGGGAGAGCAAAGAGCAGCAGAATCCTTTCAGGGCCTTGAGTGGTGGTGGGAGCTGGACCGTTGCTTCAGGTTGACCCCGGAGGCCCCTGAGTGTGAGAGGGACAGACTCGAGCTGCATGGAGTTGCTTCGGGTTGAATAACTCCTAGAATGCAACAACCCGGAACATTCCCAGCCCTCTGTCTTACTGTCCTATTTTTATCAGTGACTTGGATAAACACATGGCCCATGTTTATCCTAAAGGGCTGAGATGAGATTTAACAGGGATAACTGTAGAGTCCTGCGCTGAGGTTTTAAATACTTTCTCTGTGTCTTTTTATGAGGACTGAAGACAGAGGTTTTAGTTGGCTACTGTGCGTGAGCCTCAGTGAGGCCTTGCATGCATGACTAGGGGTGTAGCGTCCAAGCCTCTGAAGGTAGGGGTCTTGACCTCCTTGTGCCAGCCGGGAGCTCAGGTCCTCTGGGGTCTCATGCCCGGCCAGGGACATTGCAGTGGGTGAAAATGGCTGCAGCCGACTCTGGCTCAGCACAGAACAACCCGGGCTGCCAACAGGGGAGGTTGCAGACATCGATTGCAAGTCTGTGGCAAGTCTGTTGCTGAAAGCCTCAAGCCTCAAGCCTCAAGCCTGGGTGCGGAGGCTGGGGTCTGTCAAAGCCATCCCTGCAGAGGTGGCAGGTGGGGGAAACCCCTGGCACCCTTCCAGAGCTGAGATTCTCTGCCTCCTGGGGGTCTGCTCCTCTTCGTCTGATCTCATCTGTTAGGCACCAAGTCTGAGGGTTCTCCCTCTGAAGCCTCCCGACCTTCCCATCTTGGCTCCCGGACTAGCCAGCCCTTGCTCTGAGTGGGTGCTTCCCAACATAAATTAGTGTGTAGATGTGCAAGTGGTGAGGGGGTGCTCCCACGACAGGTAAGATGTACTTTGATTATTCACCGAGTGAAGAAATAAGTATATTAAGACAGGGAACTATGGTAAATTCAAAATTACTTTTTAATGAAACTGTTATTTGCAATAGCATCGCCATCCCTTTGAAGAACAAGTCCACACGTGGACGAGCTGTGTTGTTCATCTTGGACCCCTATTTGGGATGTTGCTGGGTTCGAGGATCCCAGCTCTGAACCTCAGGATTTGGAGAGCACTCGCAACTCCTGAGAACATCTGCCTCTCTCTCTGTCAGCCTTACCCTCTCCCCGGGATCCACCCTGAATACCAACGTCGGTCATCCAGGACTCGGACTTCCTGGGCGCATTAATTTTCTCAAAACCTTACACTCACGATAAAGCCCACGTCCCTAGGCATTCTAGGCATGGCAGAGTCTGGCTGACTCTAGCTTTTTGATTTTATCACCATAGAACCCTCCACCCAGACCCTCAGCCTCCTCCTGGCTGGGCTCTGCCTGTGTGGGGCCTCCCATCTTCTCCCTGTTCACACAAACCCTGCCTCCATGTCCCCTCCTGTCCTGCTGAATTCCATTCATTCGTGAAAACACCCTTGCTTGCTTCCACCTCACCACAACTCGTCCTCCTCTCCCCTCAGATTTCTTAGTGGCTTCTTGTGCCACTGACGTGGCGTTTAGGGAGGTGGTGCCGTGGGGACGGGCACTGACGTCCTGGCTATCAGAGGCTTCCCTTCACTCTCTCCAGGCTCTGAACACAGAGCCTGTTCTTTCAAATGTTGAGGCCGTTGAGTGGTCAGGGGCTTCACCAGATGGCGCCAGGTGCCAGCAGTGTGGGGACCAGCCGCATCCTTGGGGCCACAGCAAGGACAGTCGGCACAGAGGTTTAGTGGCCTCTTTGTTGATGCTTGGCCCATACAGCCTTCAACATTCTTCATCCCATGTTAATTTTTTTTGTGTGTGTGAGGAAGATCAGTCCTGAGCTAACATCCACGCCAATCCTCCTCTTTTTGCTGAGGAAGACTGGCTCTGAGCTAACATCTATTGCCAATCCTCCTCCTTTTTTTCCCTTTTTCTCCCCAAAGCCCCAGTAGATAGTTGTATGTCGTAGTTGCACATCCTTCTAGTTGCTGTATGTGGGACACCGCCTCAGCATGGCTGGAGAAGCCATCCCATGTTAATTTAAATGCTTATCAAATCTAGAAAACTTAAATTTAGTTTTCTATACCTGTGTCTGTGCAGTTTAAAGGAAGAATAAACATCAGCCTTGATCTGGCTGCTTGGACTAATCGATATCAGCCACAAAAATCTGATTATTCGGGTTGGGGGGCCTGGAAATAAATTATAATTCCATTTTTCATTAACCAGTCATCTGTACAATCTCAACCTTAATTTTCACCATGCAGAGGTAACAGTCTAGTTAGCCAATTAATAAAAAGGCGTTGCGTTGGGTTTTGTCCTGTTGCTGGAGGACAGTGAACATAAACTGAGGGAGGGTTCAAGAGGGAGGCAGGCTATGCTGTGAATTCTTTCAGGGCCAAGACTAAATGTCTGCTGAAAGAAAAGAATATGTGAATTAATGAACTGAAGGAACAGAGGCATATGGGGCATGTGAAAACATGGCTACACTTAAAAAAATACAAAAATCACCCCTAGGCAAACACCAGAGTGGTAATTGTTGCAGAAGAGACCCATCGGTAGATGCTAAGGTTAGTGGGCGGAAGTTTGAGGAGAAATGGGATTTGCACAGTCTCAGTGCATCTCCCCCGAGATATTTCTTAACTACACAGAGGAAGAGAGTAACTTTACTTTGGAGAAACCGGGCAGAAACCTCCTTACCCGACCATCCAGACCAGGAATCAGGCCTGTTGACATCACAGGCCCCTCCCCCGAAGGGAGTGCGAGGAGGCTAGGTGTCGCTTGGCAGGGTTCCTGCCCTGAATGCGCCCCCCCAGTGGAAGTGTAGGAAAACATCAGCCGGGTTGAGGGACACGCGGTGAAGTAATTCACCAGTCCTCTTGGAAAGTGTTACGGTCATGAGAGGAGGAAGGACTGAGGGACTGCCAGAGGTCGTAGGAGGCAAGACACCACAACTGAATGCAACCAGGGACCTGGCTGGGTTGGGAACAGCAAAGGGACAGGTGGGAAAGCTGGTGAGACTGCCATGAGGGGGGTTAGTTAGTAGTCTTGTGCCTGCGTTAATTTCCTGCGTTTGATCATTTTACCATAGTTCTGTAAAACGTGAATGGGAGGAGAAGCTGGTGAGAGATATGTGAGAACTCGATACTGTTTTTGCAGCTTTTCTGTAATTCTAAAATTAGCTCAAAATTAAAAATTAAAAAAAAATAAGAGATGGCAAAGCAGGACTCTTCTTCATGTGAAAAAAAATGAATGTAAAAAAGTAGCTTGAAAATGAACTATTTCATAGAATCAGTCCTGTATGTGATTAAAGTAATTAAATTGGCCAGTGATTTTTGCTGTAGGTACTAAACTGACTTCTGAGAAATTCACATTTTAAGTATGTTTGAAGATAGGCTTCAGATGCTATAGTTTTTCTATAATCATAACATTTCCTTGAGTTCTTTTTATTTGCATGAGACAACAGATAGGAAGAAATTAGCAACAGTGATAGTAATGACTACCATTTATGGAGACCCCCGCGTTTGTTAGATTGTTTACAAATACCATCTCATTTAGTCTATATCTATGCCCTTCAGGATGGATACTGTCATTCCCATTTTACAGATGAAGAAACTGAGCAAGAAGTAGCCTGCGCCCCAGGCATGAGTGACAGAGCTGGAGTTTCCGCCGGGGCCCAGCTGGCCTTGCAAAGGATTCAAGTGCACAGAGGCTTCTTTGCATAGGCAATTAAGGAATGGTTTGTTACAAATCTGTTTTGGAGACTGGTAAAGATTCCATTTCTAGAGCTCCAAATTTACAAAAGATTAGGAAGTTCCTACGCAAGGTAACTGTTCATAACGGTCAGAAATGTTTTGCAGCACTGACATTTGTTTCCACTTGTAGGGTTTTCCCCCCAAATTCCCTTGGCAAACGGGTGGGGGAAAGGGGCGGGGGCTGTCAGCTGGCTGCACTGAGGTCCGCTGAGGTTTAATGTGCTTCCTGAGACAGACAGATTTGAGTCGGTTAATAAAAGCAGTAAAGAAAGTGGTTCTGTGCTGCCCTACCCTTTAAACTGAGAGGCGAGGGGGTCTTCATCCTTCCTGTTCAGATCTGGTCATCTTCAGAGTCGGTCTGTCCACTCAGACTTTGGTGAACACCTTTTTGCACTTCCTGCACCTAGAGCTGTCGACCCCGGAGGTTCCGAGTCCTGACTTCTGCTTGGTTCTCGTGCTCCTTCTCATGACTGGCAGGCTCTCTGTGCTGGTTCTCGAGCAGGGAAGGCGGGGGCCTCCGGGGGGCTCCACAGAGGAGAGCACGTGCCGATGTCACGTGGAGTGTGACCAACTAGGCTGGTGATGCCAAAAGACCAAGGACACATGAACTGTCACTTCTTCAGAAAATCAGGTGGAAATTTCTGAAGTTAATTGGCAAATCTGAGTGATGAATAGTCATTTTAATCCTGTGGGGTGAGGAGGAAATCTGATTTTTCTCTGTTCGTTTTTGTATAGTTTCCCTAATTCTCTTCATATGGAGAGGAATTCGAAGAACTGAGAACCAAATACGTAGAAAGATTAACAATAAACAGAAGATTAATTTCACTTATTAACAAAAAAGCAAATCCATACATGGGAATAAAATAATCTCAATTATGGTAAGACGTAAGAGAAAAAGTAAAGAAGACAGTCCCGCATGCAGCGATAGCGTCAGGTGCCCGCTGAGCCCGTGGCCCTGAGGGACGTTCTTGTCGCCGGTGCCATGCAGGGAGGGGAGGACGGGCTGGTGTGAGCTGTGTGCTTCCGTGTGTTAGGCCCTGAATGGAAGATGACAATCCTTTGGATCTGAGAATGCACCACGACTTTGGAGGATATTTTAGGCATGTTTTTTAAGATGAAGTAAGTAGAGGGCCTGATCTGGGAGGACAAACAAGGGTCCCAGCCTGAGCTGACTAAGAGCTGAGGTCAGGAGGTGAGCCCACCTCTCCGGGAGCTGGAGAATGGCAACACCAGGGAGGGCCGTCATGGCTGCAGATCTGTTCCTGGAGTGTCTGTCATCTGCCGAGGGAAGTGACAGAGTCAGTCCCTCGGGAAATGTAACTAAAAGCTACACCAGACATTAGAAGTGAGTCAAGCCGCACTTGCTACTTCTACTTAAATGGACCAGACGACGTGATGGAATCTGGGAGCTCATCGGATTTTAGAGTTGGAAGGATCCTTGGATATCATTCAATACAATTTTGGAATTTCCCAGTTGAGGATACTGAGTCCCAGGATCATGGGGCTCATTGGTGGGCTGAGCTGCGGTTCGCGCTTCCAGCCCAGGAGTTTCAGCTGCTCAGGCACCCCTGTTCCCACTTCTTCCAGCAGTGGGTGAGCAGACTTCCGTCCTCGGAAGCTAACACCATACAGCCAACATGGGCCTATGAAGACGTTTTCTTTGTTGGCTTTTTTAAATTACCAAAACTTGTGCTTTTTGGTAAAAAATCCATTTATCTACAGAGTTATTAAGTGAAAAAGTGAAGTTGCCTATTTGGTTTAAAATGCACATGGATATCATTTGATGTTCACAGCAGCTCAGGGCAATAGATGGTGTTATCCCATGTGTCTCAGACATAGGTGAGAGCTTAGAAAGATCGAGTAACTGGTATAGAGCCCCACGGCAGTGTGCGACGGACCTGGACTCCAACACAGACCAACAGACATGAGCTCAGTACTCTTTTACCCCAGTTTTAAACCCACGGGGAAGGGCGCATGGAGAGGGCGTTCGGACAACCAGAGCATCTTTCTGGGGGAGAGATGCACCTCTTGCCTTGCACAGGGTGAGCAGATGTGGCTCCTGTGGAGGGACATTGGCCCCTGAATCTGTGTGGCAGAGCTCCAGACTGGGCCTTGGGGGTGCAGAGCGTTCTCTTAAAGTATAGGGGAGAAAGGGGGACAGTAGGTGGATGGGGAGGTAGGGAGATTGGTGTAAGCCCCAAACTTCAAAACTTCAAAATCTGACCCCTCCTGAATGTTTACCTTATTGCTTTCATTTTCAGAAATCATGAGGTCCAATGGATTTTGTTTAGCAAATACGGAAACAATCGTTATCGACCACAGTATACCAAACGGAAAAGACCAGCACCTGGGTGTGGACCCGCCGGAACACCTGTAAGTACAGTGATTTGAATATAGTTTTGTAGAAGGATCCCGAGCTGTCGGCTGGTGCCAGGGGCTGCGGGTCACTGCCCATACGGGGCTCTGTAGGAAGGAAGCAGATGTGGCCAAACACCGAGCCACCCTACCTGTATTTGGATGCTGATTTAGGGTGTTTGCCTTTTCTAGAGGACAGCGAGATCCTTGATTCATCAGCGTGTGGGAACAGAGTTCCTTTAAGTGGCTGGCTGTGAGGGGCCTTGAGGAGAGGTTGCCAGGCTTCAGGGACTGGTCTGTGCTGGGCCCTGAGGGGTGTGGGGGCCACAAGCCACCTCGCTCCAAGGGCCTGGTCTCCTGGGAGGGGGGAAGTGTCGCCTGCACGTCAGCCTGATGTCGCAGGGCTGGAGGTTCTCCCAAGGCCCGTGGGCAGGGCCTGGCCCAGCTGGGCTGTTCTGAGGGAAGGAGGACATGTCTGATTAGTGAAGGCGGGACAGCCAGAGACACCACTGCCTCCTCCATTCTTCCTCCCTCCGAGAACAGAACTTTGACATGAAGAGAGCTCTAGGAAAGCCTGACACCAGGGCCCCATGAGGTGCAGCCACGCTTATCCTTGGGGCACTTCCGGGTCGTCTCCTGGGAGTTAGCAGGCGGCAGCTTGAGTGATGTCACAACCTGGCTTCTGTGACCATCGAGGCCAAGCCCGGGCCCTTGCTGGTTGTGTGAGCGTCAGGAAGTGATTTCGCCTCCCCTGGCGTCTCTCATCCTCACGTGGGACCATTGTGCTCCCGGTCGACGTGAAGCGCTCAGATGCTGAGTGTGAAGCTCCGCACTCACACAGTCTCCCTGTGGCACATGAGCAGCACAACCCGGGGTTCAGGGGCCTCTGGGAGCCTCAGGTCCTGTCCCACCCTCTCAGCCACAAAGAAAAATAGACTAGGACAGACCCACGTGCTGGGACACACACCTAGGCCAGTCGACTGCAGGACAAGGCGTGACCCCAGGATGTGCCTGGGCTCCGGCAGGGGCTTAAGCCTCCTCTGCTGGACCCTGTTCCATGGTGAAGCTCTGTGGGAACCCTGTCAGGCCCATGGACCTGGCTCTAGCCAGCAGCTTCCACTTTCTGTTTCTCAGATGTCTCTTGGGTAGATGGCACAAGAATCCTTCACAATGGAGATGTCATGAAATGCGGGTGTAAACGGAGTGCTGGCGAGGCTGAGGGGTGGCCCTCCTCTGTAGTGCCCTGTCCCTTTGCCTGCCTTGCCATGACACCAGGCGACATCGTACCTGTCACGTGTATGTAGAGAGCTCATTCGTTCATGACCCAAGGGTCCTCGTGCTGACACGGGCTGGCACATGGTGGTACAAGGTTGATGTGTATTAGACGGATGGCGGGAAGGAGAGGTCCTTTAGCTTCATGGGAGGAGCTGCTTATCTTGGTGGAGAAGACAGGTGAAGACCTGCCCTCATCAGCAGTCACTGCAGGTCCTAGCTCTGACCCCCCCAGTGTTCCCAGGGGAACGCTTTCCATCTCCGAGGGGCCTCGAGGGGTCTTCTGCACCCTGCCACGAGGCCAGATGTAAGAAGTCAGTTCAACTGTGAACAGTTTTGTTGAGGAGAGACACCGGAGAGAAAGCAAGGGCGGAAATGTGACTTTCCCCACGAGCCCGGGGCCCTCGTGGATGGGGCGGCACCTCCTCAGTTTGCGGCGGCTTGCGCCTGGACGCCTGCAGGCCAGAGGGAAAGAGCGGGGAGAACCTCTGTGAGCCCAGGAAAGCCCAACAAGACACGGCCGCCCCTGAGTGGCTCGGGAGCGGTCAGCGGGTACCTGCCCCGGGGCCCAGCATCTCCCTGGGAGCCTGCACGGGGCGGCATGGCCTGGTCGGCCGCTGTCTATCTCAGGGGCCCTCTTTGTTCACAGTCCACAGGGCTGTAAGGATGTAAGGAGGGTGAGGGCGGGGGGACTATGGGGACGGGATCACAGAGAGATAACGTTTGAGGAACTGGAGGCTTTATCTCCTGGCCGCAGCCATTCTCAGTGGTACTCAAGGGTGACTGCCTGGCCCCGAGGCTGAGTGCAGTGCCGTTGTCCTGCTGTTAGGACTTGTGCTGTTGTCCTGCTGTTAGGACTTGTGCCGTGGAGCCAAGCAGGCAGTCCCCACGCTGTCCCCGGGGAGGGTAGGAACCAGTACCCAGGACCAGAGACCCCACTGCACTCAGGGAATGGGTATGTGCCTGATGGAGATGTGGTTCAGCGGACAGTGGGGCCTCTGCCTGCTGACAATCCTGGTTGGCTAGAGGGGTCGCCGGCTCCCAGAAATCCACCCCAGGGCTGAGGCGAGCCCCCACACTGTCTTTACAGCTTAGGAGCAGAGTATTTGCCAAGCCTGTCAAAGGCCGTGGGGGATGGACAAGGACCCCGGACTCAGCCTGGTGATGCATTTTCCTGAGCATCCCAGCTTCCCTTCCTGTCCTCAGTTCTCAGGGTCATCTGATCTGAGGGGCAAGAGGTATAGCCAGGGGTAGGAAGCTCTCTGGACGGGGCCTGGAAGCGTCTGGCCCTGGCCCTTGCCGCCCTTGAGCCTTTCCCCGCACCCACGAGTCCTGCTGTGGTTTCAGTCCAGTGTTGGTTTGAGAGAAGGGATGTAATGTCCTCTATAAAGTTGGGGAGTTGGTCTTGTCTCCGTGAGACACGCTATCTCGCAGGCTGCACACACTTCTCTGTCCAGTTAGATCTCCTTCTCCAAATCCTCGGGCCACCAGGGCAGGAAGGCGTGGAGGGAAGCTGGGCCTGAGCTCTTCCCGCGTGGGGCACAAACACAGGGAGCCCCCACATCACACACACCCCTCACTGTGAAGTTAGAGGAAAACCCACCTCTGCCGCCATTTCTGTCCAGTTTCAAAGCCATAATCACCTCGTCCTCGACTTTTAACCTGCAGCCTGGATCTCGAGGGAGCGCACCCCTCCTCGGAGCCCCGTGTCCCGAGTCAGCGGGATTCTGCCCCGGGTGCCCTGGATGCGGGGGCACGGCCCACGTCTCTGCTCGCAGGCGGCTCCCGGCCGGTGTAGCCAAGTCAGACACCCATTACTGTGAGGTTAGGTCAGTTCGTGTCCTTCCTGGTCACTCTAGAGCCTTCCACATGTAGTTGAGCTCCTACAACTGTCTACAGTCAGCGATGCCTTCAAGCGCCAGGCATCAGTGCAGGGACAGGTGGCTGTGGGACTGCGGCTCCTCCACCCACCCCTGCTGGCCCCTTTGTCTGGACTGCTTCCTAGTTGAGGAAAATGGCAAAAGCACGGCAGCATCTCTGTTTCTCTTCCTGGGGAGAATGTCCTTCATGTGCTTCTCTCTCTGTTATGCATTTTTAAAAATTTGGAGTCTTCTTTTTAGCATAGGAGCCCGCGTCTGGGTTAGACAGGATGGAAATGCTTTCAGTTCGTGGGGCAATCAAGATCAGGAATGTACTTGTGTCCCTTGCATTTGGGGTACTGTTCATCCCTGAGCTCTTCCTGCCTCCCCTCCCCCCCGTCAACCCCCCACATTGAATACACACACCCAAATGAAGGCTCCCCCGAGAAGGAGCCCTCCCTCCGCTGCCCTCCACCGCTCTCCCAGCTCCTTTCCAACTCCTGAGTCCTGGTCTCCTCAGTGACGTGTGCACGTGTCCCGAGGATGCAGTGCGGTGATGAGCCCAGGATCACGGTGGCTTTTCTCCCTCATCTGCGCTGTGGTGTGCAGGGCCCAGCACGTGGTAGGCTCCTGCTCCCAAAGGCAGGCCTTGCCTGTCTCGTTCACGGTTGTGTCCCAAACGTGACACAGAACAATCCGTGGATAGAGAAAAACAATCACCCTGGGAATGAGTGAATGAATGTCTCGGTGAAAATCGGTGAAGGAATACAGACAGCGGTCTCTAAGGCAGTGGGAACCAGAGCTGTAACAGACGTTAACGTCCAGTCGGTGTCACATAATTGATTTGTAAGCATGGTTCTTCCTACACATGCACTGAGGAGACCACGCCCCTTGGTCCGCTGGGCCTGCGCACTGTGAGAGCGTTCATCCCTGAACACCCTCCTTCCAACGACCTTCTGCCCTTTCTTTCTCCCCTTCAGTGGGGGTCAGGGGTCCCTGAGCAGCCCCGGCCCTCACCTCTCTTTTCCTGTTTCAGGTTTGAGAACGGCGGTGAGTTTACCTCAGAGCTGGAGGATGGCGATGACCCAGCAGCTTATGTCACCAACCTGTCCTACTACCACCTGGTCCCCTTCGAGACGGACATTTTGGACTGAGTCTCCGTTGGGCCCCCACCTCCCCAGCCCTTGACTGCTGGTTCTGCTGCAGTCCACTGCACTGGCCCCAGCGGCCAAAGCCGCTGCCCCAGGCCTGCGTCAGGCGGTGCCTGCAGTGAACGAGCTGGCTCTGCTCCCAGGCCCCACCCAGCAGCTGCAGCCAGAGGCCCGGGTGTCCTGCGAGCGGAGCACGGGGGTTTCCCGGGTCAAGCTGACCCCAAGGTCTCCAGCAGCCAGGATCAGGTCACTGGAGTCCCACGCAGCCTGCTGTTTCACTGGGGGCTTCTCTCCATGGGGCACCACCAGCCCGTTTCTGCCTTCCTGAGACGCTCCCCACCTCGTGTGGGAGAGCCACAAGTGCCTGCAGGACCCCCAGGGCCTCCCTGGGTTCCTCCTTCGCTGTTACTGTTTCCTGGGGAGGAAGCTTCCTCTTGGCATGGTGGCCCCGGGCCGCCCGGCACCCTCCCTCCCCACCGCTCCCTCACACAAGCGCACAAAACATGTCTGGGGAGATTTGGATGAGTCGTCAAGTTCTGGACGGCATAGACTGGGTAGTTAGGTGATCCAGGATTTCCCTGGGAACCAGCACATGGGGCTTTCATTTCTGTTTTTCATCTTCTATCTGGAAACTGTGGGCTTTGTGTCAGCCGAAGGGGGTGTTTACAGAAGGTTGATTGTGAATGGGGAGTTGGACTGTGGGGTCAGGGGAGATCACTGAGGTCGGGGGCCCATTGAGCCTGGACTGAGGTAATGATTCTCTTCAAGAGGAGAATTCCTGCCTGGCCTGCCAGCGTCCCTTTAGCCTCCAGTGAGGGGAACAGCACTGTGACCCACCCGGGCCATCTGAGGTTCCGCTCTTGTGCTCTTCAGCAAGCTTCACTGACGTGATGGCCATATGGACCTGAAAGGATGGGTCAGGAGGGAAGCCGGAGTCTTCCTCAGTCTCTCTTTGTCCTGGGGGAGGGTCTGAGCTCCGCCTGCTTATCTTCTTCCCATGTCTACTAACGACCCGCATTTGCTAGTGTAAATAATGGTAAATTATTGAGAATCGTAATTCTCTTACACAGTCTGTTTTTTAATCTATTTTAATTAAATAAAATACATTACTCTACTTTTATCAGTCTGAGGTGTTCCTGTATACAGGTGTGGCTCGGGGAGGGGTGAAAACCAGACACTGCCCCCTCAGGGCTGGCACTGGGCACACTTGTCTCATGGTTATTTAGGAAAGGTGCTCTGTTCTCACCCTGGGGAATAATCTATCCAAACCGAAGAGTGAACAGACAGCTCGGGTGTTTTTTGACTTGGGGTTTTGCCCATCCCCATGTTGCTCTTGGGCAGCCGCAGGGAACCTCTGCTGTGACCCAGCTGCAGGCACATGCGGTTCCCGGGGATTTTGCATTTCCCCTCTGCCTTCAGCTGCGTTAAATGTAATGCATCCAGCTTTCACGCAGGCTGTTGGGTAGCTGATTGGGGGTTGACTAGTCGTCTTTCCTCTCTTGAAGGGTGAAGTTCAGTTCTGCACAAGGATAGGGCTTCTTGCCAGGCAGTTAACGTTGGACTCGGTCACCGTGTTCAGTTAACTACCATGGAAGTTTCCGTTGTTCATCGTTGAGTTGTCCTCATTATCCATGGTCCACAGGGGAGCTTCTCCCTGGCTGCAGGGCTGCTATGATGGCAGCTTCCTGAGCCGTCTGCTTACTGGATTGTGTTGCCGTCGGGACCCACACTCGGCTTCCCAGGCCCCCTCTTGGCTTTCACTCAGGAAGCTTCACTGTTTCCAGTCAGTGCACAGTGAGGTCTCTGAAGTAGGGGTCAGAGGTTTGGGTATTTGTTTTCCTATATAACACATAAAGAGCATTATCTGGCTTCTGTTTGTCTCTGGAAAAACGTGGTCTTCTACACCCGTTCTTCAAGTTCCCCCATTTGAAAGAACCATAAGTACAGATAAATATTTCTTTAAGTGCAGTGATAAATGGTTACTAGTGTCTATGCAAATAATCCATAATCAATCCATAAATCAACACTGGGGTGAGTTTATTGTATGAGCCAGTTTGAGGACTGTAGCCTGGGAGACAACAACCTTCCCCAAGGAAGGAAGCCCTCGGGAGAAGCAGAGTGTACAGAGTGCCTATGTGCTGTCTTGGAACAAAGAGCACACATCACATGTGACGGAGAATCTCTTTCACCACTGTCAGGAGAAGCTTTGCAGCGCAGCAGGTCAGTGGTCAGCAGGTCAGTGGTCACAAGGTGAGCTTGGCAGGTCGGCTATCAATCCTTAGTTTCTGGGAACAGATGCTTATCCTTAAAGAAATGCTGATATGATGGGGAGGCAATCCCCTACCTTTAAGGGCATCATTCTCGTCTTTGGGACATTGTAAATGTTAAAGCAGATGTACAATGCATGCTCAACAGGCCACATCAGGCCTTTCTGGAAAAACAAGGTCAGGCTGAAGTAGTTTTAAACCAAACGGCTTTCTCATATACTCCAATATATCTTATTGCTTTTCATTTATTCATCACTCCTCACTGTGAGAAGGCCAATATGGAGCAGTGGGGACTGTGGCAAACGGAGAGCTCATGCACTGCATAGCATAGCAACTCAGCTTAGCTGGTTGTTTCACCTGGTAATGTGGGCCCAGTGTGGCCAGAGCTCCCAGTTTTTCAGTAATGGTTTTTCAATAACTAGCTAGAAATCTGACTTTTTATGTGAAACATCCCAGTTTTGAAGTGTTGCAAAAAACAATAATAAGAAACTTGACCAAGTAAAAGAATCAGGAATTTCCAGCCTCTGAGCCATGAGGCCAGAGAATCCACACCAGAGGCACTCCAGTTCCTGCGGGAAGTTTACACTCTGGCCGACACATGTCTCCAGAGACTGCTTTAGAACAACCTGCTTCTCTTCCTATTGGCTCAGTGACACGTCCCTTATGCTGTTCTGGCGACCGGGAGCCCCTTGGCAGTGGTGGTCCCGACCCTACCCTTTATTACCAACCGTTGTGTGAGGACTACACTTTTGAAACTCATTTATTACATTAAGTAGGCTCCTGCAAAGTGGTGGGCAATTAAAACAGCTTTTTCTTTTTTTTGGCAAATCTAATTTAAGTCGCTTAGGTTTTCTGTTTAAAAGGAACCTTCAGCAAACGCTATGTGTAGGCAGAGGAATCATCCTCTCTCTGACTGTTTTGTAAGTAGATGCTGGATTTCGCATATGAGGCTTGCTTGAAGTGCAAGATGCGCAACGAAGACATGATCTAGGTCTGCCCTCTCATGGTGCCTGCAGAATAGACCTGCTGGGCAGTGCTTGTCCTCGTGGGACAGCAGACAAGCACAAGCTACCTGGTAATTGAGCAGGCTGGAGGCTCATTAACAAACGCACAGTTCTCAGGGCTCTGACATTCATTAATAGAAATACACGCAGGGATCTTGGCAGCCAGACTGCCCTGAGCCGTGTGTCCTAAGCTTCCCACGTTCTCCTCCTGAGAACAGAATGCATTCTTGGTCTTCATTTACAAGGGTGTCCTGTCAAATTACAAGCATTTTTATTGCAAATGAAATTTGTGTCCTAGGTTGGCTGTGCTAATATACCTCCAGCAGCTCAGTATTTTACTCTAGGCTCATCCTGTTTTAAAATGTAGGTTTTATTATTATTCAGGTATGGCAAGGCCAACAGGTCAGGAGATGCTTGCCATTGAAAAGATAGTTTGTTATTCACAGATCCCAAGAGGAGGGGGCACATCACGCCATGCAGGGCCACATGGGGAAGCACCGAGCCAGTACGGAGGCAGAGGGAGAGGGAGGAACTCTGGACTTCCCACTTTACTGTCATTTCTATAGGGAGAAACAGGTGAGGCAGGGGAAGGTTGAAGAACTTCAGTGGGTTCCGGGGCACAGGGCTGCCCCTAGCTGTCTGGTACCTGGCCCTGGGGTGATGAGGGCGGGTGGACAGTGGTCAGAGTGTGAGAGCCCATAAAGGAGGTGGCGGGCGTGGGCTCTGGATTGGTTGGTTTGCATACAAAAGGCCCACTCAGAGGCAAGTTGTTTACTATCTCTAGGAACTGGTTTATCCTGGGAGGGGCAGTCCCTCCAAGGTCAGCAAGGTCCCATGATACCTAAGCATCAAATACAGAACTAGAAGATGTGGTTATCACACGTACTAATCCCTATGACTCCTTGGTCTAGGGAGGGATCTGATGTATCCCCTGCTGAGGGCATAGAGGAAACCAAAAACGTGGCATGTCTGTATGCCTCAGGGCTCCATATAGATATAGACGTTAAGTTTTCTTATTTGAATGGGTAATATATTCCTGCAGTCCAATAATCAAAACGATTTAAAAGGTTTTCCACAGAAAGTATCACTCCTATTCCTGTCCCTATCCTATCCCTCCCAACATGGATTAGTTTCTAGTGTATCCTTCTAATATTTCTTTATGCAAATACCAAACAAATATGAGCATATACTTTTTAGACAATAACTAAAGAATTCCTCTGGAGTCTGTATAATTTAGCATTCGTGGTCAATAAGAATGTGTCTTCAGAAATAGGTGATCTGCACAAACTCATTAAATTTTCCTTCTAATCAGAAAGTGTGAATGACTAAAGAGCTTGGCTGATGTGCAGCATATCATATCTTAGACATGCTGAATTTTATTAGACTTCTGGGCAAAGTGTTAGGCCTTCTATCATTTGCTCCTGTCTGTTTTGGGGGTGCGGGCGAGCATAGGAGCAGTGGGAGTTGGCAGAGTGTTGTGAATTTGCCGCAAGCTAGGGGCTGCTCTTGGTCTTATGGATAGTAAACCTGAGAGCAAATCTCTCTCCTGTGGGCATATTCACGTTAAACAGTCTTGAGGCAGATGTCCAAACACCACAATGCCGGAACATTTACTTATTTACAGTAGAAACAACTGATCCAGAAACCAGAATACTTAGAAGTCATGGCTGGCCAGTGCATTCATTCCCTACAAGTGGGAAAAGTCAAATTAATGCTCTTAAGCTGGCTCTGTGAATATGGAAATGAGAAGAGAAGGAATTCATTAAATACCACTAGAAATATCATCAGTACCAAGCCATTAGAATTTTATGGAAGGCACTTTGACA